TGCCACAAACCGAGCTAGGGTTTTGAGAGGAGAGAGAGAAGGGGGCTGAGGCTATTAGGGTTCAATAGAGGGTTCTGAGGGGGGTTGATGAACACCCAAAAACGATCCTCCTTCAATCTGAATCGCGAAACCCCACCGAAATCCTTCGAAACGCCTTAAAAACGCCAAAATCCGAGCTAGGGTTTGAGAGTAGAGAGAGATGGGGGGCTGAGGCTATTAGGGTTTGAAAGAGGGTTCTGAAAGCTTCAAAACGAGTATATATAAGTAGGGTAACAACCGGGTTTGGTATAAACAAAACCTGACCCGAAACTGAACTGGCAGAACCAGGTTCGCTGCGCGGTCGACCGCAGCGACCACGGCGGTCGACTGCGCAGGGTTCTGGGCCATACTCAGACTGGGGTTCGGTAAAAAGGTTGTAACTTTCTCATACGATCTCGGAATGAGGTGATCTAAGATTCGTACCATATAACATATTTATAATTATTTATCACACTATATTCAATTTTTCAGGGTTTTACATTCTTCCCCCTTAAAAGAATTTCGTCCTCGAAATTCGGAAATCGTACGCATCTAGCAATATGAACTTCTAGATGAACATATAGAAATATTTATACCTAACGATCTAAAATGGTAATACTCCCACTCGAACCCTAATCTAGTGGAACTAGTACATCGGGTGAAAAATCCAAACAAGGAACCCCCCATATATATACCATGTGTTCCAAAAGATTAAGAATTAAGCAGAAATATTCACATTCTAGTGTTAAACGTAAATATAACCCAAGATGTAAACATAATATAAAACACATATCATAAAAATTATTTTGTACTCCACTTGAGACATTTTTAGACTTAAGAGGTTTATGTTCTAGAGTTGTAAAGGCTGTGTGCCTTATTTCCTGTATCAGATATTATGTACTTTGAGACATGTTGAGATCTCCAGATTGTTATTAATCATTTCAGACTTTGACTATGTATTCCAGTTTATTTGGTTGAGGAGATGTGTTAATTTGATGTTCTATCATTTCATTAAGTATTTGTTGTAGAACCTTTTACTTGCTTTGTACCTACACCTATTGTTGATTCCTCTAGAGAGATAGTAATTGTGATGGTGAAACATGCTATTGCACGGTGTGGTGCATGGCAGGTTTGACATTCCTGGTTTCACCTCGGACTGCAGCCTTGTGTGAACCCAGGGGCGTCACAGGTAACTTCGCAAGTTCCCAAGTCTTGTTAGAGTTCAAGGACTTTATATCATCTTTCATAGAAAGCTCCCACTTGCTTGCATCATCCACTCGACACACTTCATCGTAGTTTTCTGGCTCTCTACCGTCACTCAACAATAAATAATTTAAATGAGCTCTAATGATGGGTACCTCAGATTTGGCTTGGGTACTCTAGCTGTCCGCCTTAACTCTCTGACAGGTGAACCAAACTCTGTATCTACCTCCTCAGAAGTAGTTTCCTCCATCATCTCTTATTCAGTCTCTTCTCTTACATCTTCATCAGAACTAGCTTCAAAGTTGCTTCCTTCTGGAACATCATCTGGCTCAAAGTATGTAGGCTCTAACTGCACTGAGCTTGTGGACTTAACAGCATCACAATCTTTGTATAGGATTGCTTCATCGAATACAACGTCCCTGATTCTGATAACTTTCTTGTTCTATTCATCCCAGAACTTATAGCCAAACTCATCACCACCATAGACTTTTCCTAAGTTTCCTGAAACATAGTTCTCAAATAAATCTCTATTTGAGGTAGCATGAAACGAAGCTCCCGAATCCAGCATCCGTGATTCTGTCTTGCTCTCCAACGAGCAAATAAGGGCATCATCTGATTCTCCTGAGACGACGTTCGCTTCAGTCTTGTTCTTCTTGTTTTTCTTAGGTTCCCTGCACTGATTCTCATAGTGTCCAAACTTGTCACAGTTCCAGCAGTCAATCTCTTTCTTGTTTTTTCGATTTCTGGATCTTGATCTGCTGTTCCTCGAATTAGGTCTTCCACGACTATTCCCTCTATTTCTATTTCTATTTCTGCCTCTGCTTTCAAAATTCAATACTGATCCTGAATTAGAAACTCCTTCTTCTTGTCTTCTTATCTCCTCGATCATAATCATTTCTACTACTTCTGAAAACTTCAGTTTTGCTTTTTCACATGACCCGCTAATCGAAGTAACGGTGCCCTTCCAACTATCAAGCTGACCAAGAATTAAGAGGACTTGTATTTCATTATCAAATTGAATATTGACGGAGTTTAGTTGATCTGTGATCTCATTAAACTCATTCAGGTGTTTCTTGAATTTTTGACTCTCGGACATCCTCAAATTAAACAGCTTTTTTATGAGATGTACCTTATTCGAAGCTTCTTTATGAGATGTATCTTAATCACCGCAGAGGGTTATTTGTACATACTAGATAGCGCAGCCATGAGATCCGCTGTCGAATTCTGATTCTTGATGTTGAAAGCTACAGATTTGGACAGGGTCAACCTGATTGCTCCAAGGACCTTCCGATCTAATAGCTTCCACTCTGCATCCTTCATATCCTCCGACTTTTCTCCCAATGGCAAATATAGTTCCTTCTGATAGATGTAGTCTTCCATCTGCATCTTTCAGAACCCGAAGTTTGTCCCATCAAACTTCTTGATCTTGGACGTCTCCTTCTCAGATCTCATGTCTTTGATCTCAAATCGTCTGCGCCGAACCTGGCTGCTCCGATACCACTTGTTAGGGTTTTATCTAACCCCTGATGCGATTTGGAAATAGATATGAGAGAGAAAAAAGAGAAAAGAATCACACAAAACACACAAGATTTATGTGGTTCACTTCTCGATGTGAGAAGCTACATCCACGACCGCCGCAGGAGAAAATTTTACCATTTTTGTCAACCTTACAAGTTGCCCTAATCTCTCCTTTAATAACATAAGGGTTAATACAAACAGGATTCTGAAAACATTTCAGGGAAAAATAGTCCAGGCCCAAAAACCCGACTCGCGATCGACCGCAGTGACAGTCGCGATCGACCGTAAAAAATTCAGAGACCAAATCTTGATTGCAGGGCTTGGTGCGGTCGACCGCACATGCTGTCGCGGTCGACCGCCAAAATCCAGAGACTTTCAATGGTCTTGTGCACGTTTGCGGCCGACCGTGAAGCTCCCAAATTGTTTCCTTCATCGTTTTGCCTGAACTTCAACGTCATCGTTCCTGTTTCTTCAATTCTTTTTGTTTCCTCTTCAAATAGAAGTATAGGACAAGTCTGACAGTTAGGCTCCACATAACTTAACATTATGAACCTTTCTTTTTCACATAACCTTTCCTTTCTACATTTTCTCCTCTCTTCTCTTTTAATATTTTACTATTGATTTTCTCAATAATCATTTCTTTCTATATTTTCTTCTCTTGAATATTGAAATTTTAAATAATTTTTGCATTTCAAATTTTCTTATAACTTCTCTTTTTTTATATTTTCCTTTGTTGAAAAAAATAACAGTATGCTTACCTTTTCTTATGAGCCATCGTTTTTGGCATTGAATTATATGTCATCGTGATGATTTTCTTGTTGCTCCTTTTTGTTTAAGGTTGGGCTTTCCTTCAAACTTGTCTTCTCTTGCTTCTTCTCTTTTATCATAACCATCTTCTGAGATTCTTGATGTTCTTGTTCATAGTAATTATCTTCTACTTCTTCTTGTTTAGAGACCTTTTGCTCTTGAACTTGTTCCAGTTGCATCAATGGCTAATCCAATTTTTGGACCTCTAGAGCTTCCTCTCTTTACTCTTCCAGATTTTTAAACTCTTCAATCTCCTCTCTGTCTTTCTCTGAGTCTTTAATTTCATGAGTTTTCTTTTTCTCTTCGTTCACCTGCAAGTTTTTTGAAGATTTGCAATTTTAGTCATTACCTTTCTTGTCTTTTCTTGTTTCTGGTAGAAGTTTTGTAGCAAATCCTATGCTTATTTAGATGTAGGAAATTCCAGTTATAGGTCCAGATTTTGCAGATTCTGTATCATAAGTCGACTCATGCACATGCGTAAGTTGACTTATAGTAAGTCGATGGTAAGTCAACTTACGTTCTGTTCTAGAATTGTTGATTTTGGCTCGGTCAAGTCGACTTATAGAGACTGTTAAGTCGACTTATGGTAAGTCGACTTGTTCCCACCGTTAAGTCGACTTACATTCTGTTCTCCAGTTGTTGATTTTCGTTCTGCCAAGTCGACTTATAGCCCCCGATAAGTCGACTTATAGCAGGTTTTCTGCACAGTTAGAGTTCCTATTTTGATTTTGTTTGGGTTTCTGTTTTGTTAAAAATAGGAATACGATTTTGAGGGTTTGAGAGCAGTAAATTGGGGATATTTGGAGCACAGAAAAAAGGTATTTTCTGAGCTATTGGTTAGAGTTTTGTTTGGAGAGAATTAGAGATTTGTTGGTGAGATTAATTGGTGAGTTTGAGTGATTTGTAATCTCAGTTTGTACTCTTCTTCTCTATTAATGAAAACCTCATCTCCTTCTTACCCTGTGGACGTAGGCAACTTGCCGAACCACGTTAAAATTGGTTGTGTGTGCTTGTGGCATTATTTTGGTTTGTTTGGCCTTCTCTCGGCGTTTGTTTGATTTGGTTTCTCAAAGCACATCGGTTTGGTTTTGGCTTCTGCCGCGCACAACATACTCTTTATATAGCCCCTAGGACACTCTAATACATTCATGACATTAATTCTCTTCAACATACCTCATATGCAATTAATAACAATTATTCTCCATGACTCCCGTCAGAACAATTTGTAACTCCCATCACTCTTAATATTTGTAGCTCCTCTAATTATGAAAACTATTAATTTCTAATTGATCAAAATCAAGTTTAATTTCCAACAGAATGGAAGAGTTTTCCAACACGAGGAGTTGGAACTACATGTTTTTGCAGATACATTTGTTATTCCAGCTACTGCTAATCAAACACACACTTAAATTCATACACCTCACCTCCTTCTAATGTATCTGTACAATAAACAGGCAACAATAGAACGAGGAGAAAATGTGGAACCACACAGAATAAGCAATACTATGGCCTTTATGTTTGAGTCTTGCCTCGTTCCTCGCGTATGCCCGTGGGCCCTTGAATCTCCCTGCAGAGATCCTGACTATTACCAGTGCTGGATTGGCTTGACGTCGCACTTTTCAGGCAATAAGGAGGAGAATGCTAATGGAAACGGCGAGGTAGTTCCCTCTGGAGAGAGTGCAGATGACTGATATGCTCGCGGTTTTCTGGTAACTACAACAAGCTTTGCTGTATATATTAGCATAATAATCTCTCTGGAAGTACCTTTCATGTGGGTGCAAGCTGAGGGATCAGAAGAATAAATGTACTGTATATATACGATTGAAAACATTACGTCCTGGTGGAAAGCACTGTAGTGCAATTCTGCCTACGTGACCTCACTCTAATGTGTTTGAACTTACACCCTTCATATGGCTGTGGGGGAACATTCTAAATAATTTGGGCCTGTTCGCAGAGTAGTTCATAAATGTGATTCATATGCAGTTTCATTTGTTTACCAGGAATGTTTAGCCCTACATCAGGAAAAGGAGCTATGCGCGCATCTTGTTGTACCTACTCGTGTCACCAGGGGACTTTAGCTGTGTGGAGACTCAACATTGTATCATAAGGGGAACTTACATTTACTTTAATCTACTGTTTGTCTTTGTTTGCGTTGCGGGAGATTTTTCCTATCGAAAATAAACCGATGATCATATGCTTTAGGTTTGTGTTGAGGACTATACATTATACAATAGACGTGTATGCATTATATTGTTGCGCGTCGTGCGAACGCGTGCTTGCAAACCAAACGAGTCGACGAGCGATGAGAGAAGAACCAAACACGAGTGCAATTCCCAAATAAAGGCTAAAATTCAACACAAACACAAAGATTTACGTGGTTCGGCAATTGCCTATGTCCACAGGGAGAGGATGGGGAGATTTCATTATATGGAGGAGAAATACAACTGGTTACAACTCACACAAACCCTCAAATATAACTCTAACCAAAGATCTCAACTCCCACACAATATCTCACTCTCAAAGTGCTCAAAGTGCTCAAAAGACTCAATAATCTCTCCTCTATTAACCCTAGAAATTGTGTTTGTGTTTATATCAAACACTAAACCAAAACCGAACAGGAAGCCAAAACAGCCCAGGAAACCACATCGGTCGACCGATAACATGCACAAAAAATTACTCACAGTTCCATCAGTCGACTGGTAGGATTATCAGTCGACCGAACGAGTTCATCAATCGACTGATCGCCTATCAATCGACTGCACAGAACTTTTTCACAATTTCTGGGCTTTTCTTTAGTTGACTGATCTTGGCATCAGTCGACTGATGACACTGTTCACAAAAAACTTAGTTTTTCAAACAATTCTCCACCTCGGCGGAGTGTTCCCAAAACTGAGCCGACACCAACATGAGCAATAAGGTGTCGTCTCTCCAAATCCGGCTGCACTAATGTGGTTGCCTGTAGGCGTCAAAAATTACCTATAGGTCCCCGAACACAGCTCGAGACGGAGAGAAGACGACGAACGTCGTTATCTGAGTCTAAGAGGATTATCTGACGCCAACAAGCACCTGAAGCGAAACGGCAAATTAAGTGACCTACGTGCTCGACAGTCAGCTCGCCACGCGTGCGTCAATCAACACGCACGTATATCAACCAACGTGTGTTCGACAGTCAATCCCGCAACGAAGTATGCAAGTCAACAAGACGGTCAAAACACACAAAACGGGAGAAACTACAAATCTCAAAAGAGTCGAAAAACCAAAAAAATGTCGGACTTCAGAACCCGCGCTGGTGCGGGACGACCGAAACTAACCCGCACCAGCGCGGGTCGGCCAAGGCCGACCCGCGGCCTGGCGGGTCGGCCAAGGCCGACCCGCGCCCCCGCGGGTCAGCGTGACCCGACGCGCTGTTTTGACCCGAAAACCTGTTTTTCGACGGATTTGAGCGGTTTTCTCGGAATTTATCTATTCCAGGGGTTCCTAACTGCCTAAATCATATCTCTAAACATTGTTAATCAGTTGTTAACTGAGGATGGAGCCAAATCACTTGTTCTCATCCAAATAACCGCTTCCTAAGCCCTATAAATACAAGCCTAGGGCCTCCTTTCAGCGGGACAAATTATTATCAAGACGTGGAGGTGCTGCTGGATTGAGGAGTCGAGGAGCACGAATTTCAGCGAAGGCAAATCAGATCCTGGCGAACTTCGGCATAAAGAAGGAGCTATTAGAAGGATCTGAACCCCGTCCATTTGTCCCTTGAGATTAGGCTTGGTCTTAATCTCGAGAAGAGCCCTGATTTCGCTTGGTCGATCTCAGCGCTTCAAATCAAATACTTCCTCAGTGAAGACGAAGCTCTGCCAAATTTTTCATCAACCGGATCCAGATCTAAGGTGGTCCACGGATATTAACATCCCCGGCACAGGCAAAGACACCCACGCAAGCAGAAGACCGATAAGCGATCTCCCTGCGTTTGTTTGATAAAGTTGTAAACTTGTTTTATTTTCATTGTGTAAGGAGATCTTATAAAAAGATCAACTTTTTATTTTATTCGAGTTTATTGTAATGACTAAAGTTGTAATAGATTCGATAGCAATGAAAACAGCAACTTTCGACGCAAACATTGCCTACGTACCCCCTCTCCCAAGGGATCAAGCCGCCCGTAATTCATCCAAATAGTTGCAAATGGCCTCAACAAACGCGAATTTGCAACAAATTTCTACAATGATCAAACTTGTTGCTCGGGACCACCGTCATGAGCATATCCGCTAGATTATCTTTTGTGTGGACCTTCACGAGCTCCACATCCCCATCTTCAAGAACATCTCGAACGAAGTAATAACGAACGTCGATATGCTTCATCCTTGCATGAAAGACCTGATTCTTCGCCAAATAAATAGCACCCATGCTATCACAATAAATGGTGACGGATCGCTGCGAAACACCAAGATCCTCCAAAAGTTCTCGAAGCCAAATCGCCTCCTTAACAGCCTCCATAATCGCTATACTCTGCATCCGTCGTCGACAAAGCTACCGTAGACTGCAAGGTGCATCTCCAACACACTGATGCACGGGTCAATGTGAACACATATGCTATCGTCGACCGACGTTTATCCAAATCTCTAGTGTAATCCGAATCTACGTATCCAATACATAGCTGCCCACCGCTAGTGTCCCGCTCAAAAACCAAACCAACATTGAGAGTACCTCGAATGCACATCAAAATCCATCTCACGGCATCCCAATGACCCGGACCCGGGTCGTGCATGTATCTCGAAACCATGCTCACTGCCTATGACAAATCCGGCCTCGTACAAACCATGGTGTACATCAACTCTCTAGCTTCAACTATCTTCGGTGAAAGGTCAACTGAAAGCTTCAGATGGGCTCCCAATGGTACATTGACGGGTTTCGTCTCCATGCTCACGTTGAACCGATGTAGCACCTTCTTCAAATAAGCCACCTGTATTAAACAAATTCTGCCCTTATCTCTGTCTCTGCTGATCTCCATCCCCAAAATACGCTTCGCTTCACCCAAATCCTTCATCTCGATCTCTTTCGAAAGTTGTACCTTTAACTTATCTATAGCAGATCTGGGAATAGAAGCAACCAATATGTTATCGACATAAAGCAACAAGTAAATGTACGCACATCCATTCAACTTACGATAATAGATGCAAGGATCAAACTGGCTCCTAATATACGAATGACCGAGCATAAACCCATCGAATCACTAATACCACTATCGCGGATATTGCTTCAACTCGTATAGCGATTTCTTCAACTTACAAACCAATTTCTCCTTCCCTGCAGCTTGAAACCCTAATGGCTAAGCCATATAGATTTCCTCATCAAGGTCTGTAGGCGTCTAAAAATACCTATAGGTGTCCGCACGTAGCTCGAGACGAAGAAAAGACGATGAACGTCATCATCCGAGTCAAGAAGGATTATTTGATTGGCCGCTACGCACATTAATCAGCTCGTGCGTGTCGGTCAACACGCACACATCAATCAACACGTGCACGTCAACCAACGCACGCATATCAATCAACACGTGTACATCAAGTAACCCCAAGTGACCGACACGTTCGACGGTCAGTCCCGCAATGAAGCGTACAAGTCAACGAGTCGACCAAATACATGAAATGGCAAAAAGTACAAGTCCCGGAAAGAAAAGCGTCAAAAGAGAAAGAGCTTGGCGGAGGTGACGGGCCCCCCGCCAGCGTGGGACGGCACAGACCGACCCGTGCCAGCGTGGGTCGGATCTGTCCGACCCGCGCCCTCCAGCGGGTCGGCAACGCCCGTCGCGTAGATCCGAGCTCCAAACACGTTTTTGATGGTTTTGAGCTGTTTTCACTGGATTTATCTGTTCCAGGGGTTTACAACTGACTTGATATCATCCACAAACATGGTTAGGCCGTTATTGACTGAAGATATGACCAAATCCATCATTCTTATCCGAAAACCCCCCAACCGAAGCCTATAAATACAGGCATAGGGGTTCATTTCACGGGAGAAGATCAATAGGGCGAAACGCTGCATAATTGAATAGTGGAGCCACGAAGTTACAGCGAGGGTTAGCAGATCTTAGCGAGTTCCTGTGCATAAAGAGTGGAGTTCGAGAGATCTGAGATCCGTCCCCTATTCCTCCGGATTTAAGCTTAGTCTTAATCTCTAGAAGAGCCGTAATCTCGCTTGGTCGAGATTATCGCTGCAGCGAATACTTCCTTCGTGAAGTAGGAGCTTTGATTCCATAATCTATCAACCGGATCTGATCCGCGGTGATCCACGGATATCAACGTCCTCGGAACAGGCCAAGATCCCACGCAAGCAGCGGGTGATAAACGTCTGTTACGCTGTTTGACAAGAGTTGTACTTTTTGTATTTTTATTGTATAATGAGATCTTATAAAAAGATCGACCTTTTCTTATTTATTTGAGTTTATTGTAACGACCAAAGTTGTAATAGATTCAATGACAATAAAAACATTAAATTTTGACCCAAACACGCTAGCAACCACAGTGGGAGCCGACAACCTTTCTGCGAAGGCTGACGTGTCGCAACCTCGGATCCTTATCCCGGTTAAAGAAGATGTCGAGTACGAATTCGACCAGCAGAAGTATGAGGAGTATTTGTCCTCCTCCTCCAGATCCGTCTCTCCTCGCAGACGTAGGAAGGCCTCCTCCAAGAAAGATCGCTGGACTTCGGCTTCAAACGTCCAACAAGAAGATCTTCCCGCCACCGTTGCACTTGTGGCTCACAAGGCCCCGCCGGCATCCGACGAGGCCGAAGCCGCAGATCTGAACCCTTTGAACAAGGAGTTGACTGCTGATAACGTGCCCATTCTATCAAAGAGACCACGTCAGAGATGGCGACAACGCCTCGCACGTCAGCTGGCTAAGGCCTTTGAGCCAGTTGATGGAATCCTCTATGAAATGGATCTGAAGTCTAGGAGGCGCCAACCGCCGCAACGGTGAGCGGACAACCCCTCCTCTTCCAAAC